GTGTTACTATCAGGTGTTCAGCAAAGTGATTCAGAATATATATATATATATATATATATGTATTCTCTTTCAGATTCTTTTCCATTATAGGTTATTGTAAGATACTAAATATAGTTCCCTGTGCTATACAGTAGATCCCTGTTGTCTCTTTTATATATGGTAGTGTGTATATGTTAATCCCAAACTCCTAATTTATCCCTTTCCCCCTTTCCCCTTTGGTAACTGAAAGTTTCTTTCCTATGTCTGTGAGACCATTTCTGTTTTGTAAATAAGTTCCTTTGCGTCATGTCGTACCCTAGGTTCCATCCAGATTAATTTCCCACGGTCAGATATTTAACAAATGGCAGAGCTGAGACTCAAGTCCAGTCTAATACAAAAATGATTGTTTTTACTTTTTTAAAAATTTATTTATTTTTGGCTGCGTTGGGTCTTCGTTGCAGCTCCGGGGCTTTCTCTAGTTGAGGTGAGCGGGGGGCTACTCTTCGTTGTGGTGCGCAGGCTTCTCATTGCGGTGGCTTCTCTTGTTGCAGAGCACAGGCTCTAGGGCACACGGGCTTCACTAGTTGTGGCACACAGGCTCAGTAGTTGTGGCTCATGGGCTCTAGAGCACAGGCTTAGTAGCTGGGGCACATGGGCTTAGTTGCTCTGCGGCATGTGGGATCTTCCCAGACCAGGGCTCGAACCCTTGTCTCCTGCATTGGCAGGCGGATTCTTAACCCCTGCACCACCAGGGAAGTCCCAAAAATCAGTGTTCTTAATCACTATTCTGTACTACTTACAACATGCTCTGAAATATATCAAACTCTTTATATTGGTACATTTTCCTTTCCTAAAAAGTAAGCAGAGTTTTATAGTAATGCCTGATCAGAAGAAAGCAGTGTGGTCTTCAGGTAGAAATAAGCTTATATAATTTTGAAATGTCTTTCAACCAGCAATAATATTGATTTTTTTTAACAGAAAAAAAGTTATATCTGTATTATTTAAGATGCTTTTTAAAGCTTATTAGGGTGAAATTGTTTTATTTCTAAGAGAAAAATAACTTATTGGTAGTTACCTGTACCAAGATCCTATGTTTCAGGCCTTTGTTAATGCTGATTATTTTAAGAGAACACTGACCTTTTTTTAAGTGTTGAAACATATAAGGAATCATTTGATTTAGAGAAAGATAATAGTAGTACTCTAAGCAAGATACTTTCTTCACATGATGCAGCTACTCATTTTTTTTCTTTTTGACAGTAACTGTAATAATTTTACCCAGTTGCATTATCTTTTGTCCATATTATCTTTTGTTATGCAAGAGGAATTTTTTCTTTTATTTAGTGATTTTTAAAAAATTTAAATATATAAAGAACTGGATAAAAAGAAGATGGTCGTTTGGTGGTAATCACTTGTGACTTCCTTTACATGAATGTCTTTGAGTTTTCTATTTTCCTTAAACAAAACAAGATAATTACGTAGAGCCATCTCATAGTATCATAATTTGGAGAAATGTTTATAGCAATGCAGTTGAATTGTCTCTTCAATAGATGATACTGTTTTTTTTTTTATTCTATTTGTGGCATGAGGAACGTTAAATAGAAACATCTCTGTATGTGAGACAATAGTTTTAAATGGAAAACTTCAAGATCTAATTATGAAAATATGTGATTAAGCTAGGATTGTTTGACAAGTCAAAATGAATTGTTGCCATAGGATAGTTTTAATTTTTTTAAAGCAATATTAAGGTTAGCAGGAAATTGCTCGAGGAAAGGTTGTTCGTTGGCAACCTTCCCCAACTCCCTTCAACAGCTCCTTTTGCCATTCCCTATTAAGGAAAGTTGCCCTTATATAAAGAGAAATTCTCTTTTAAAAAATGACTATGTTACAGTTAAGGACTACTTATTTCAGAAAAAATCAAGCAGGAAAGCCTGGTCCATCACTAGCAAACAGTCTCCAAAGCCAGTCCAACATTTTAATTTGCTGATGGCATGGATTCCTTGACGTGTTGAATAGCAGGTGTTCCAAGCCTTAACCCCTCTTAAGGCAAAACTTTCTAACTAATATTTACTTCAATTTTGGCATTCCACTGGAGGTTAAGTATGGCAGCTGTTTAAAGAATGTGTGTGTAAATGTGTATGTATGTGTTTGGAAACAAAGAGCCACACTGAAATTACAAAGTGATTAAAATAGAATTTAGAAACCCCAATTGGAATTTGGCTGAATTCATGAGGGATTACGATTCTCCTACACTTTGACAATGCACTCTTTACCAAAGTGCAGATGCTCACAGTTGGCCGATGATGCACAGATCCACCACGTGAGAAACAGAGGAAAGAATATTATCCCAAATGTTTACATAGAGTGTTAAATAAAAACTACTAAGGTAAGAAGGTCAGTGCTTTACATAGATAGTAAACTATGCATATTATTTTATTTGTAACCCCATGTGTTAAGATGGGACACTATTAAAGCAACAATCACTTAAAAAGCAACAACCAACAAACCAGTATTTAATTTGGTACTTAAAATTAATAATTAAAACCAAATGGAAGCAATGCCTAAAGTAACTAAGATAATTCACAATAAAAACCATTAGTGCAGGCTCTACTTATTGTAAATGTGATAATTCAACATAGGCTAACCTAAAATGTACCTTTAGAGATAGAATAAGGATATAAGCAAAATATTAAATAAGATTTCAGGAAGCCCCTAAAATTATTTTTAAGAACTTCAGAACTGATTACCTATATGCCAAAAAATATTAACTATAAGTTTAAGTTCATTCATACATGACCTTATTTGAAGCAGTGTATTTTCATTCACTAGCAAAATTCATGTCAGTAGTATTTTATTTTCCAGATAATTCACTACTTTGAACTAGTTGTTCCAGTGATTAGCCTGAATTTCAATGGAAACCTAAGTCTTAAATGAAGACATGCTTCTGAAAATAAGGCAACTTTTCTACAATCTGTTTATGAACAGAAAAAAAAAATCTTTGGTTTTAGTTAAACTAGCTGGAAGGATTTTGCAAAAAAGAAATACTAAAGAACCAAAGCAACGAAAAGGCTCTTAATAAGCAATGGGAAACTCCAAACCCCATCAAGGTCAATAGAATACCTAAGGCACCTCAGGTTCAGATGATACAATCATCTTTGCTTAGAGTTCTACTCATCTATATACAGGATTTTTACCATCTTAAGAACATGAAGCCGAAAAGGTAATGTCCAACAATGCTTATTGTAAGAAAGAAGAAAATCCTAAGAGTTGATAAATGGGAGAGATTAGAGATCATCTCCTCTACGTCCCAGATGAGGAAAATGAGGCCCAGTCAAGAAACAGAGGTGACACCAGGGTCCTAGTCCATTTCTCTTAGGGCAGGACAAATTCTAGATTTTAACTTTATTGGCTAGGAAACCAAGTGTGAAGAGTTTCAGAGATGTGAATTTGAGGAAGGAAAAAAAAAAAATTCCCATCAAATCCCCAAAGGCAAGTTGGAAATAAATGTATAATACTTTACTGTCTTAATTCCTTTATACCATGTGTTGGACAACTTAGCTAATATACTAATTGAGTTATACAGTTCTTTTCAATTCTATCTAAAAATAGCAGACCAAAATTAAATGAGAAAGTTACATCAGATTCCATTTGAGCATACATAAGGCCATGGTACTTAATGCGAACAACCACTTCTTGGGAGAAGGAAGATAGCCACTGTCCAGTTCAGGAGAGAAAGCTCCTGACCAGTTATCCAGTAGACTCTCCGCACGTCAATGGGGAAGATGATGCTTATATTTTAAAAAAAATCTCTACAAAGCTCACATACAAGACAGTACATCCTAGATTTGTGACTGCTATGAGCATTTAAGGCTGTCATTTTCAAGTATCAAAGTTTAGTGTTCCATTACCCAATCTGTGCAATAGACATAGCTATAAGCTCACGTCATGGAAATTAACAGAAGCTCACCAAAGACATAAAGAAACCATAATTTAGGCAACAGCATTTTTAAATGTAGGAAAGGCTGGGAAAAATTTTATGGATTAGATTATGCTTCTCTGAACTGCATTAGTTTGTTCACACTGACTGAAACTTTGTCTAACACTACTGTCTGTTGCATGGCATCTGGAAAAAGGTAGATCAACAGCAGACCAAACAAGAAAGCTTAATTAGGTAACAGAACTAGTCATTAAGATGGTTCACCTCTACCACAGTTATACAGTCTGTTTCCCTAGAGAAAGATTAGAAATGGCTCCAGTATACCAAATGAGCTTCACAGATAAACATGAGAAAATTTTTTTAAAGCAGGACCTTTCAAAACCTAGGGACTACCAAGCACTGCTCGAGGATGAAGTAAGTCAACGTTATTTACTTCTGGCTTGATGTAATATTGTGAAATGTAATATGGCTGGAGAAAATGGGTATTTGGAAGCCAGTATGTCATTTAACTTATACTCTAGGTGTGTACATAAGCTGTGGTTCTGTAACTTCTACTGTGGTTCCAATATCTATATCTGAAAGGTGAAATCAGTTTTATTATGAAAGCAGTTGCTTTGTTATAAATTCCGTGTAACATGCTTGATTCTAGGTCTTTTCTCTTTAACACAATTTAAAGTTTCTTGTGGTTTGGTCAGCATACACCCTTTTCGTTTCATTTGATATACAAGCCAATGTGGAAATTAGAAAAATAAAACTACCAACTAGTTCAGAGAGCTAAGCTGAGTCCAGGATTGTGGCAAAGTCTGACCCAAAGTTTTAATTTGTAACTTCAGCATGTAACTCATGCAGTTTGGGGAGCATCAAACTAAATCTACAATCGCCAGAAACCTTTGTTACAGTTGAATGCACATTAACTAAAATGTGTACATTTTTAGTGTTCGTGATAAATGCAGATATGACCTTATTACACTTTTGGCATTCTTTAAGAAAGCACATTAAGCTTTAATATAGAAATATTTAGGTTACACTTGTGCTCAAGTAATAATAAAACATTTGTTCTTTTCGATCTCATACATTCTCTCCTCAGGAATGGCCCATCTCCTGCACGCTTGGAGCGACCTTTGGCTACGTGGCTGGACTTGTTACTTCACCACTCTGGATATACTGGAATAGAAAGAAACTTACATACAAGAACAATTAATTGGAGCAAAGGGAGAAGGTATTTCTTTGTGCAGATTCCATAAAGACTGTGCAGACATGTATATGGTCTAAGCCAGGCAGTTCCACTTAACAGCACTGTTTTTTATATAGTTACAACATGATGTGATTGTAGCTTTTTAAACTATGAAACCCCTGAGAGATTGTACCTTCTAGTTGAAATAAAGTATTTATAATAGATTGTGGCTTCAGATGCTGTTTGTTGCTTCTTGGACCTTTAAGAAACATTCTTAATCAACTTTATAGAATTATGAGGACAGGGTTGGTTTTTTTTTTTCTATTTTTTCCTTTCAAGTTTTAAACTGCTTCATTATTTTTAAGAGGTCTGGGCATAGCTTCAGCATTTCATATGCTTTCTGAGAGAAATGGACAGTTTACTTGGCCACTGAAGACGTTTCTCACGTAATTAAACAACAGTTTATACATCTTGATCCTATTCTTTTTTTTACTGTGTGTTTCTTTGGAGTTAAAATGGCTATGATAGCCTCATCAAAAACAGTCTTCAATCCCTTCTGGGTTAAAGCTGAACATTCTACATAGCAGCACGCACCTATCTGGGAGGGAGAAAAAAAAAATCACAAATATATACAGTCTTTTTTACAACAACTGATACCACACAAATACACCATTATAAGGAAAATCATAAAATGCAAAAAGAATGAAATCATCCATATTTATGATACCCAGAGATAGCTAACTGTTAAAATACTCGTGTATATTCTTCCAGACTTTCTCTATGGAAAATTCTTTCATTCATCAAATTTTTACTGGGTACCTACTATATGCCAGGCTCTGTTTTTAGGTGCTGGGGATCATGTCAATGAACTGAGCAAAACAGCAAAGTCTCTGCTGTGTGATGCTTACGTTTGCTTAAGTTCTACTGAGGGAGGAACACACAGAGGAATATAGAGCAGATGGTGGCACATGCTACGGGTTAAAAAAAAAAAAAGCAGAGTGAGGGAGGGAAAGGGTGCAGAGGACAGTGGTGGTGGTCAGAGAAAGCTGCTCACCAAGGTAAAGTCTGAGCACTGAGGGATACCTAGGGGGAGAGTTTCCAGGCAGACAGAGCCACACATGTAAAGACCCTGATGCAGGAGCATGCACGGAGCATTCAGGGGGTGGGAAAGAAGCCAGAGTGGCAGGGGAGGGTGAGCAGGGGTAATGGCAAGAGAGGGAGTCAGTGAGGCAGCCTCGAGGTAGCGACCTCGAGTAAGGACTTTGGCTTCTACTGTGAGAGGGGACCCATCCATCCATCCATCCATTCCTTCGTTCATTGGAAACTTACAGAGCACTCTCATTTGCCAAATGTGAGAATATAGCAAGGAACAAAATTAAGTCCCTAAGCTGTTCTCATGACACTTATATTTTAGAGGGAGAAGACCATGGACTAATAAATACAGAGGCAGAATATGTGGTCTGGAGAAAAATGGGGGAGGAGATAGGGAGTGGGGAAGAGGTCAGGCAAGGCCTCATTGAGAGAGTGATATTTGAGTGAAGGAATGAACAATGTCTACATCAGGAAGACTATCCCAGGCAGAGGGGGCAGTGAAAGGACAAAGGCTCTGAGGCAGAAGATTGGGGAAACCGCACGGAGGCCGAGTGCCTGGAGCACAATGAGTGAGGCAGAGAAGTAGCGGGGCCTGTACGCCAGGGTGAGGGCTTGGGCCTTTATTCGGAAGATAATAAAGCCACTGGAAGATTCTGAACAGAGCAGGGAGCTGATGGAGCTTCTATTTTTAAAGTCTCACTCTGGCTGCTGTGTTGAGAACAGGTTAACAGACACAGACAGAAGCAGAAAGGTGAGTGAGAGGCTGTTGCGGTAATCCAGGCCAGAGAGGGAGAGGGCCTGAACCAGGCTGCCAGAGGAGGGGAAAGAGAGGAGCGTTTGGATTCTGGGTATATTCTGAACGCAGAAAAATATATTTTGCTGGAGGGTTCACTGAATGGTATGAGAGAAAGCGCAAGGTCAAGTGTGACTTCAAGGTTTTTGACCCGAGTAACTGAGAAGACTAAGCCTAGAGGATAAAATTGGGAATTCTGTTTTGGACATGTTCGTTTTGAGATGCTTATCACCCTGATGGACTTGCTGCATGACCAGTTAGTTAACCAAGTCTAGAGTTTAGGGAAGAGGTCCAGGCTGCAGATAGAAATTTGGGAATCTCAGTAGCAGACTGTTCAAACCACAAGATGGATAGAAGCTTACCAAGCTTAAAGGCTGAGTGTGGATATAGAAGGAAAGACATCCAAGAAGCTGAGTGCGGATCCCTGGACCCTCAACATTCAGAGATGGGGAGATGGAAGAGAGGCCAACGAGTGGGGAGAAAGCCCAAGAGAGGGCGTTCAAGGAAGCCAAGTGAATGTGTTTCAAGAAGGGACCAACTGTGCCAAATGCTGCTGACAGGTGTAGAAATGGTGTTTTGCAACCACTTTTTTCCCCCTTAAGCTACATAATAAACATGAACATCTCAGTAAGTAAATTAGTATAAATTTTTAGTAGATGCAGGGTTTTGTTTTTTTTTTGCCATTATAAACAATGAGGAACTTTATGGCTATCTCTTTAAGCACATCCCGTATAATATTCTTACGATAAACTCCTCCCTATGAAATTGCTTGATCAAAAGTATACATGACTTTAAGGCTTTTGCATGTTGTCGAGTCTTTTACTCAAAGACCAACAGAACAACAGAGTACCCATTTGCTTACACCTGGAACGGTGGGTATTCTAATTAATGTCTCCTTTTGTGTGCCAATTTTATAGATGGAAATTGAACTTACATTTGACTACTAAGGAATATGAACATATTTTTTATCTTCAATGGCAATCTGCATTTTTTGGAGAATCTTCCGTTGATGTTCTGAGTCCCTTTTCCTATTGGGGTATGCATATGTCTTTTTCTGATTAATCCATATGCAAGGGGTTCATGTCCACTAAGGATATTAACCCATTTTTCTGCCATAAATGTCAAGTTTGTTATATGACTTTTAATTTTATTTCTGGCATTTGATGTCATATTAAATTTTTACGTAGTTAAGTCTTTTCATTTATGACTTTTACCTTTATGAAATTTAGAAATTCCTTCTCTCCTAAGATGACAGAATTTAATATGTGAAATTCCTTGCTAGTAACTTGTTAGTGAAGCTATTTATCTTTTGCTTTAGGAAAAACTGTTCTCCAAAAAGTTTTCTTGCTTTCTTCTGCCTCCTGATAGTATTTTTAAAAACACCTTATTATATTCCATTTCCACAAAAGTCCTATTAAAGTTATAACATCTAAAAAAATAGAATCCAATCATGTTAGGGGCAAATGGAGAAAAAAGTAAGCCTCACTTTGGGGCGAGGAAGAATATAAGTTAAAAGGTATTTTGTGTATCACAGTTATATTTTTAAAATGATAATATATTCCACCTTTCATAAAAATTCTCTTGTGGAAGAGAATTCAACAACACATTTCTTCTCCACCATGAGTCTTCACTGACGACAGGGCCTGATTAAGCAGCCCCTATTTGTGACGCTTCTTTGTACACATGACTTACTAGGAAAATATTGTTGGCAGTGTAGCACAGGTTTAGTAAAGGCCAGAGTGAGGCCTTTGCTGAAGCCCAGCTCTGCCATTTACTACCTGCGGGACCTTACAAGTTACCTGACAAGGCTGTGCCTCTGTTTTCTCCTCCATAAAACAGAGGTACTAGTAGACCAACCTCACTGAGTCGAGGCAAGGATTAAATGATCTAATGCATGTAAAACACTCAGCACAGTGCCTGGCATACAGTAAAGCACAATAAATACTAGCTTCTATTATTACCTTAGCTTCATGTACATTTATTTTTAAATTCTGTAAAGGTTGCATTACCTCTTTTGCTAGCTTCTGTCCTTGTTCCACACATATAGGTTTTTCCTTCATATCATTCAGTCTTGCTAAAGTTTTGGGGTCATCTCGCAGATCAATCTAGTTAAGAAAGGTTAATAATGTCCCATAATATTATCAGTCTTTAAAGATAAAGCATGTAATCCCATTTAACCCCTCATATCAAAAAAAGATTACAAAAGAACCTAATCTTTAAAACCAACTAATAAAGTAATTGCTTTCTTTGACACTACTTTTTCCAAAAATGTGACAGAATTTATTATAACAACTGAGATTCAACATATTATTATCTCATTTGCTAAACCTTAGGGCCATTTGTCTGAGAGCAACACCACAAGGCAGGCCACAGAGGTTATTCTTAAATGGGCAAAATCAAAGCAGACATACCTGAGTTCCTATTAATAAAAAGGGTACATTTGGTGCGTATTCCTTAAGTTCTGGTACCCACTCCTCTTTCACATTTTGAAATGAGGCTGGATTTACCACAGAGAAGCATATAAGGAAGACATCAGTCATTGGATAAGATAAAGGCCTCAGACGATCATAGTCTTCCTAAGGGAGAAAGAAAAACCTCATTATTTCCATTTCTAGAGTTTACTAACAAATATGTACATTAGATTAGATGGTCAAAGAAGCAAAGTCAGGACTATTCCACAAATGGAATGTATGACATACTACAAAAAACAACATAATTCCATTTGTCTTTGCTATTCTATTCTAATTGGAAGCTCTGAACACCACTGGGGTAAAATATGACAGTATCATTAACGTCTACAATGAAACTCTGAGAAAATACATTGTGATGACGAGAGCTGTCACTGGAAGCATTTTTAACTGAAAAGTTTGCACACAGAATTGATTGTAGCTAGATGTTTAAGTATAGTCATTTATAATATTATCTACTGAATGTTCACTATGTTATTAAACACATGATCCATATGCTCTCTCATGTATTACTTATTTAATCCTTGTAACAACTATATGACATAAGAACCATTAGCTCTATGTTGCATTTGTCTAAACTGAGGCAACAGAAATTAAATAACTTGTGTAAGGAAGTATATAGCAAGTAAAGGAGATGGGATTCAAACTCTGGCAGTTTTATTTCAGAACCTATGCCTTAACCCACTATACATCTTCACTGAGACCTTAAATCTTTGCTTTCCCTGTTTCTATAGTTTTCTTAATTTTGTGTGTGTGTGTGTGTGTGTGTGCATATGCACGTTTGTGTGAAAATTTAAAGAAACATACTGAGTAAATTCACAAAATCCCCCTTCCTCTCCAATTTCCATTCCTTTCCTGAAATGTAGACTTTTCATATGTACCTTTCCAGTTATTTTCTGTGCACGTATATGCCTACAACTGTACACATTTAAACATCTGTACACAGATGAAAACCATGCAACCCATGTTGTTCTGCACCTTTCAGTATGTCTTGGACATGGTTCCAGACCGGAATACGTTAGACTGCTGTATTTTTTTTTTTTTTTAATTGAAGCATAGTTGATTTACAATGTTGTGTTAGTTTCAGGTGTACAGCAAAGTGATTCAATTATATATATATGTATGTGTGTGTACATAGATATATATAATATATATATGTACACATACATGATATCTATTCTTTTTCAGATTCTTTTCCCTTATAGGTTATTATAAAATATGCCTTCCATATTTAAACTGCTGCTTCACATTTTATAGAAGGGCTGTTTTAACATCTCTCCATCACAAAAGACAGTGAAGATCCTGTTTCATTGAGGTTATTTCCTATGACACAAAATTCTACTTGCTTACATTTTTGTGAGTGAACAGTCAGGATTCCGTTTTTGTCAGGGCTAGCCTCTCACCTGGTTTCAAGGAAACTTTAGTTTTGGCCTAAGCCACCACCCCTCTTAAATGACCTGCTTCACTACTAGAACAGCATGAATGTGGAATTAAAGGCATATTAAAAACATCTTCCACTCAGAGTTTCAGGTAGTATTTCTCTCACGGGACAATTTTCCTTTCATGTCATCTTCTGACATTTTTCTTACTACAATGTTACACTCAAACTCATATCATTATCTCAAACTCTTGACTTTGGAGCTAACCCTCCTGTTTTTCTGTGATGCTTTTGAAGGGCACACCTGCAGTTTGGAGCCAAGGGCACTGAAAGATTTCTCAAGTGTTGGCTCAGGACAAGACGGGAAATGCCATCCCCAATCTTCTTTAGCATTTATTTTTACACGTGGAGGCCTCTAATTGGTTTCGAATAAAGCAGTGCTCTGGTGTTAAGAAACGATTAAGGAAGAGATCACACAAAATGGGTATGAAACACGCTGGCACCCCAGTCAGTTACAAAAGGACTATTATCAAAAGTATAACATGTTTTAAAAATCAGTTTGAGTGTTAAATAGTACAGTTTGGTGAATTAAGTATACTTCTTGTACTCTACTGCCTATTTCAAACTGCATGTCGAGAAGAATAATTAAAGGGACAGTATTTGATCTTAGCATTCTACCTGGCAACTACCTAGCAGTTTGTTCCTGAGCAAACTTGCACACGGCACGGTCAGGGAATGGGGCGGGGGGGCTCTTGCTACAAATCTCTCCTCATCCATATTTCGAGATCCAGTTTTCACAGAATTAGAAATGACGATACTATCTCATAGGACTATGAGGAGTAAATGAGATGTTGCAACTAAAGCACTCAGCAGAGTGCCAAGCACACAAAAGAACTCTTTCAACTCTTTAACGTAAATTCTTCATCCCACGGGAAACTGGTTCTCCTATCCTCTGCCAATCCACGCAGGGTCCCACCAGTGGCACATCAGCCCGGGCTCTGCATCGTTCTCTCTCCAACCACAGGGAAGAAACTCCTTTAGTGAGAAATAAAATTTTCTACTCTGGCATCAAAACACACAAATCAAACTGAGGTCTCTTGAGGACAGTATAATTTTCAGATTAATAAAAGAGAACGATATATTATTACTGTACTAATTAGTCATTTGGGGGATTCAAGGGCCTTAAGACGATTTAAAATGTAATAAAAAAAAGAATTACACATTTCTTAAGAAAATCAAATTAGATTTTTTTAATGAAAATTTTACCTTATCAGGGAAATAGAAAGTGCACTCTTTCTCTGGGAGGATATTACAAGAAATAAAAAGCAAGTGAATGCAAAGTTCTCTAGAAATGCTTAATATTCAAATATTCATCCAAACATTCTATAGAACATAAGTCTATCGTACAGATTCCTTTCATAACCACAGTGCATACTGATTTTCCTCGAGAGACATGTGGGCACAAAGGAAGGGAACTAGACTAATCATTTCTAGATTTGTTAAACTGTAGATTTTTGTTGGAATAGTTAAAATGTGAAGAATTGGGGTTAAAAAAAAAAGACAAGTGTGTTTAGAACTCCTTGGAAAGAAATGTTACTTCTCAAGTCTGAACCATACAAAATGAACTCCTTCTGCCTGTAATCTCCAGCTAAATAATTGGCACTGATTATCAGAATGAGACCTTTCTGCTTCCATCCAGCCTGAGTAATTAGAAGTCTAATAATAGATAGTAAATTAAAAAAATAAACGATCCCCTGTGCATACTGTACCCTGCATCATATACAATTGTTTATAACTACTGTGCAATATCTTGAGTGAACTTAATGTGAAATTTTAGATTTGGGGATAAATAAATTGAGGCATGCAATTCTTTCCTCCCCAGCTATATATTTAAAATTTGACAACACAAACAAAGTTAAATGCAGAACTGCCCTTTCTTTTAAAAGAATTCCTCAAAGCCAATTCTCTAGTGTCCTCCTAATTAAGAAATCAATTACATTTTAGTCCCAAAAATTTTTTTTAAAGGTAGATATTTAAACATTTCAGCCTGGTAAGTGAAATGTTCTCAGTGTATTAAAGACATCTGTCTTACATCAAAAACAATGGTGAATTTGGTCAACAGGATTGTTGAACTGCTTAGTAAAATCTTTAGCTTCTTAGCAATTGTCTAAGTACCAGCGGGATCCATTTTTTTTTTACAGTGTATTCTGGTAGCTTAGTGATTAGGCTCTCCGTTCTCATCAAGAGTGCCTGATCTGTGAGGATGACAAGCTTCACCCTTCAACAGTATCACACGCTGACAATCTGACAAGAGTCCACAGACAATAAGAGACCAATGAAATGTGCTCTGAGATGAAACAAAACACCTTCAGGTGCAACAGAGAACTGTAGCAAATGGCCATCAGTCAGGAGACCCCTTTTCATGCCCAGCTCAGTCAGCAGCCCAGAAGTGTGCCCATTTCTGTACCACCATTGTTCCCTTGGCGTGGACCTGGGTGCTCCCTCCCACTTTAGTGACTTCTGTTTAAAATACATGTTTTTGTGCCACAATGTTCATTGCAGCTCTGTTCACAACAGCCAGGAGATGGAAGCAACCTAAGTGTCCATCGGCAGATGAATGGATAAAGAAGATGTGGCACATAGATACAATGGGATATTACTCAGCCATAAAGAGAAATGAAATTGAGTTATTTGTATTGAGGTGGATGGACCTAGAGTCTGTCATACAGAGTGAAGTAAGTCAGAAAGAGAAAAACAAATACCGTATGCTAACACATATAAATGGAATCTAAAAAAAAAAAAAAATGGTCATGAAGAACCTAAGGGCAAGGCGGGAATACAGACGTAGACACGCAGACCTACTAGAGAATGGACTTGAGGACACGGGGTAAGCTTGAGACATGGGGGAAGGGTAAGCTGGGACAAAGTGAGAGAGTGGTAGTGTATATATGGACATATATACACTACCAAATGTAAAATAGCTAGCTAGTGGGAAGCAGTTGCATAGCACAGGGAGATCAGCTCGGTGCTTTGTGACCAGCTAGAAGGGTGGAATAGGTAGGGTGGGAGGGAGGGAGATGCAAGAGGGAAGAGATATGGGGATATATGTATATGTATAGCTGATTCACTTTGTTATAAAGCAGAAACTAACACACCATTGTAAAGCAATTATACTCCAATAATAATTTTAAAAAATAAAATAAAATACATGTTTTTAGAATGTGTACACCTATTTAAAATACTTATCCAAAATGTGTACTTTAAGCAAAATCACTCACGTTGGGTGGTATAGGCCTTGCCATGATTTTTGTGGTATTCTATCACACAACTGGTCATTGAAAATCAATTAGCAAAGGTGTTTTGAGATCATACTGCATGGAAGATGTTCTAAGGACACGTACACACCAATAAAAGAAATAATCGCCCCCTCGTCCCCTTTGGAGCTTATAGTTTAGTTGGGAATTCAAGACATGTACATAGAAAAAGGCAGTCAGATACAACAATGGGAGAGTGTAAATTGGAGCAGGTGAATACATAAATGCTTAATCAAAGAAACATTAATCACCTACTGAGACAGGTTGGGACCTGGGAACCTTTGCTACAGGGCTGCAATGCTTGTGCCTGAATAAACCTCTCCTGGAGCAACAAGATACAAAGAAACTATATGAGGCTAAAAATAACTGTGTGCATTGCAGTTGGGGCAAATTCTGGACCCAAAAGAGATCAATAC